AAACTGGCCAAAAGGATAATTTTTGGTGGAAGCCTTTTTTTGGCCTTTAAGATTATGGATTATTCTAGAAATAGGAGGAAATGAGTATCCTGGTTCAATAATCAATGACACCTATGTATATAGCCACTGCTTAGTGAAATCCTATTTGATGATGCCTCTGAGCCCTGGTGGCACCTTGGTTAAAGTACTCTGCTGTCACTGAAAGGCCAAAGGTTTGAACTTACCAGCCACACAGCAGGAAACAATGCAGCAGTTTCCTTTCAGAAAGATTTACAGCCTGACAAACCCTACAGGGTCATTGTACTGGGTTCTCTAGCGGAGCTGAGTCAGAATTGACTAGATGGTATGGGATTTGTCTATTCAGAAAGACTGTTTCGTGACATGCAAGTAATTGACAGGAAGAAATATTTGGCTCTTTAGTTCTTATAATTTTACATGACTGTGTATGATGTTATATCAAATTCTACATGAACCTCAAGACATTGTAAACATTGTTAGCCATCACTAGAAGTGGACTGGAATAAATTTTTTAAAAAGATCTCCCAAAAATAAATAAATTAATAAATATTATAACAATCCATCATTCAATTGAATTAAACACACTTATACATCTGTTGCCATAAACATTTCCAAAACATTTTCTTTCTACTTGAACCCTTGGTATAAGCTCCTTTTATTCCCCCTCCCTCCACCACCCTCCCACCCTCATGAATCCTTGAACAATGATATATGATTATTGTTATTTCGTATCTTAACCATCCATTGTCTCCCTTCACCCACATTTCTGTTATTTGTTCCCCTGGGTGGTGGAGCTATATAACCAACCTTGTGATCTCCTGGTTTCTCCTTTCTCGCCCCCCCTCCCCCCCGAAATCACTGCTCCCACTGCTGTTCCTGAGGAACATGCTTGTCCTGGGTTCCATGTTTCAAGAGCTCTTATCTGTACCAATGTGCATACTCCAGTCTAGCTGGATTTGTAAGGTAGAACTGGGTCATGAGTGTGTGTGTGTGGGGGGGGGCATTCATAAACTAGAGGACTGCTATGTGTTTCGTCAGTGCTATACAGCACCCTGATTGAACTGTCCTTCCTTGTAACCCTTCTGTAGGGGGATGTCCAATTGTCTGCAGATGGGCTTTGGATTTCCCCTCCAACTCCCCTCTTTCACATCGATATAATTGTTTGTGTGGAATCTTTTGGTACCTGATACCTGATCCCATTAACACTTCGTGATCACACAGGCTGGTGTGCTTCTTCCATGTGGGCTTAGTTGCTTCTCTGCTAGATGGCTGCTTGTTTAACTTCAAGCCTTTAATACCCCAGATGCTATATCTTTTGATAGCCAGGCACTATCCAATTTCTTCACATGTTTGCTTATGCACCCATTTTGTCCTCAGTGGTCTTGTCGGGAAGGTGAGTATCACAGAATACCAGGTTATTAGAACAAGGTGTTCTTGTGTTTAGGGAGACCTTGAGTAGAGGCCCAAAGTCCATCTGCTATCTTAACATAATACTTAACATAAATAAATGTACATTGACCTCTATCACCTGCATTATAAAGTAATATATTTACATATATATTCCTATCGATACACTCTATAAATAGCTTTTGCCTCCTACTTCTTTCCTCTATTTTCCTTTCACCTTCTTCCTGTCTCACCATCATGCTCACCCTCCTCCATTCAGCTCTCAGTAATTCCTCTCAGATACATTGCACTTGATCAAACCCCACCAGGCATTCTACACCCTCCTCGCCAACAATTTTTGATATCTTGTTGTTCCCTTGTCCCTGATTCTGTTGGCTCCCTGCTCCCCTTTCCTGGCCCCTTTTCTCCCATATCCCCTGGGACCACCAGTCCCAATGTTTTTGCCTCAGGGTTGTTTGCCCTGCCTATCTTATATAGACAGACATAGAGCAAAAGAAAAAAAAATCTGATAAATAGTTCCAGGTTTGTCTGCTGATCCATATGAGTGTTTCCCAATAGGGTCTGATGAGGTGCCACGCCCTGTCCCCTGAGTCAGAAGTCTATTTTCAGGATTCCTCCGGGGCTTGGTCACTTTGCTGCCCTTGCTGTCCTGTTGCACTCCCTCCACGTTTCTCTCTGCTAAGTGTGGGGCACACCGGGCGCACTTCCTGCAGTGTCTCCTGTGCTGTCCCCGTAGTGCTATGGGTCAGTGAGGGCTCTGCCCATTTTAAAATTGGGTTATTTGCCTTTTCTTGTTGAGGTGTTGCAAGGTGTAAATCTTTATGGAAGCTGACTACCTCCTCTTTCTCTCATGGAGTGGCTGGGGGATTTGAACTGACAACCTTTCAGTTAGCAGCCCAATGCTGAACTTACTGTGTCACTAGGGGTCCTTCAAGCCAGGGCAGCAATGGTGACCAAAGGCTGAGGTGGTCAAACAGTAGACAGGCTGAGCAGTGGGTGTCTTTGAGTCCTGTCTCTTTGCCAGGGCTGGAGGAGGGCTCAAAGATGCAATAGATGGTTATTCCAGGGCAGGTGTGAGGAGGGCTGGGACAGGGGTGGAGCCAGAGGCTGGGAAGACTTCAATAAAGGTGATACCAGGAAGGTAGAGGGAAGGTGGGGGAGAAGGGGAGCCGATTGCAATGATAAGCATATAACCACACACACACACCCCTCCAGGGGGACGAACAACAGAAACTGTGGGGGAAGGGAAACAGCAGTCAGTGTAATATATGAAAATAATAATAAATTTTAATTTATCAAAGGGTCACGAGGGGGGGAGGGTACAAAGAGGAGCTAATACGAAGGGCTCAATAGAAAGTAAATGTCTAAAAAATAATGATAGCAAACAAAAAGAATGATGGCAGCATATGTATAAATATGCTTAATACAGTTGATGTATGGATTGTTATAAGAGCTGTAAGAGCCCCCATTAAAATGATCTTTAAATAATACTTTTAAAAAGACAACTCTTGAGGTGGCTCTTTTCATCCACATATTCTTATGTGCATGCAATCATTCAACAAATATTCATTAAGCACTTCCTATGGTCCAGAGACTGTGTTGAGCTGGGAGTGGCAGCAGCTAAGGCCCTGTCCTCCCAGGGCCGGCAGTCTGAGGAGGGAGGGAGGCAGGCAGGCCTCAAATGCTCCCCACACAGAGCCAATGGAAACCGTTACTGAGTCGTGGAGTTTCATAGCGACTGGGGAGCTGATCGGGCTTTCTGGACCCAGTCAGGGAGCTCAGGGGAGCTTCTTTGAGGAAGACTTTACTCTTTGGTGAATAAGAACTACCCAGGACCCCACAAAACTGACATGGTCACCATTCGTTTCTAGTGCTGGGCTCGGGCCATGTCTCAATTCTCAGCCAGATAGTGGACAGTGTGTCAAAGGGAGATGGACAACACCAGTGTGGTCCACACATCTTATAGTAGTAGACTATTTGATGTCGTGGGTGGGGGGTGGGAAGGGGTGGTGGTGAGCCTAGGTGACATTTGACCAGAGACAAAGTTCACAGTGGCTGGGAAGGAGGGCTAGAGGCATGAAGTGCAGAGAGGAGGTGGGGCACATGGTGTTGCATTGTGGGGCTTGCACTGAATGAGATGAGGTAACATGTGCATAATGGCTGAATGGGGAACGGAGGGACTGCTGTATAGGCTTCTACTCAATTCACAGAAGAAAGTTTCACCCAAGACCGGAGGAGAGCGAAGGCAGTCCCGGCACGGGGACCGACACACGCCATGGTCCCGAAGCATAGGCCCCACAGCAAATTGGAGGGGCTGGAGGGAGACCAGGGTGACCAGCACTTCTCAACAGAGAGGAGATGAAGCAGACTGGGTGCGTGTGGGTTTGGGATCTGGGATCTAAAAGCAAAGGGAACGTTTTACGCAGTTGCGTAAACAAGATCTGAATGCTGTAGCAAGCAGGTTTGGGGGCCAGCAGGGGACCGCTGAGGGTGCAGCGGCACCCACATGGTGGTGAGAACCCAGTGGATTAGGGGCGGGGTTTAGGAGGGATGGTGTCAAGGCTTAGTCGCTGAACTGAGGATGGTGTTGCTGCTGTGTGCTCTCAAGCCGTTGCCACTCAGTGTGACCGGATGTTGCAAATGGGCACTGCTTCAGAGGGTGTTCTGGGCTGTACCCTTCCAGGGAGCACCTGGGGAGTTTGAACCCCACCCATGTAGCAGTTGAGGGCTTACCCGGGGCTTCCCGGCTTCCCGGGGGCTCCTGAAATGGTGATAAGGAACTTGCTTTCAGTAAGAGCAAGGATGATCACCATCTCTACCAAGGACAGGAAGAGAGGCAATGGTTTGCCTTCTGGGGAAGGCAGAAGGGAATGATATGGGGATTCTACTATGTAGTGTGTAGTGCTTCACATTAACTCTGTCCCCTAAATCTGGGAAGAAAATGGCCTGACTTATTTTCGAGGGAACGGGTTCAGAAAGCAAAAGCTACCTGCCCCAGGTTACACCTGGGAAGCGGTTAAGCCTCCACCAGCTTCATCACCTTAAAAAAGAAAACAACAAAAGCTGATAATTGAGTAAAAACTCTTTGACAAGAAGTGACAGTGAGGTGAACCTGGAAGAAGCCCTTGCTCTAGACTGGGGGCTGACACCATGTCATGGGCAGCCCAGGAATCCTTCCAGGGATCCAGCTAGACAAATGACCCAGCAAGCTCTTGACAGGACTCGGGACCTGTGGACATTTCTGACTTCTTGCTCTTGGGAAGTTCTTTCTCGACTCTAACCTTAATCCTCCTGTTGCATTTCCTACTGACTGGGCTTGCAGACAGATGGATGCCGCGTTGCTTCCTCTATCCATTAGGCTGGGCCGCAGCCTGCCCTTCAGCCTTGAGGCTGGCTGGCTCCAGGACAGGCCCGCAGTCTGTAACCAGACACTCTGTTTGCTCCCAGCAGGCAAGCCTGACTGCACCCTGAACGCCTGGAGCTCCTCTCCAGAGCCCTGGGCACAGTGTACCCCCCGCCTAGCCCAGTGACCTTTGCCTGCCAGCGCTTTGGTTAATTTTTGCCCAGTCTGCTGGCTGCTCAACTCCTCCTCCTGTCGGATAAAAGCCCAGCCCGAGGCCACTCTGCTGCCTGCCCGTGCTGAGCCACCCAGCTCCTTGCCCGCCCTCACCATGGCTAAGGGCTTCTACATCTCCAAGCCCCTGGGCATCCTGGGCATCGTCCTGGGGGTGGCGGCCCTATGCACCATCATCGCGCTGTCTGTGGTGTACTCCCAGGAGAAGAACAAGAACGCAGAGAACTCTGGCCCAGGGCACTCCACCACAAGTCCCACCTCGGCCGCCACAAGCCCCACCTCGGCCACCACCTTGGACCCAAACCAGCCATGGAACCAATACCGCCTGCCCACGACGCTGATACCCGAGTCTTACAGTGTGACCCTGAGGCCCTACCTTACCCCCAACAGCCAGGGCCTGTACGTCTTCACGGGCAGGAGCACTGTCCGCTTCGTCTGCAAGCAGGCCACCAACCTCATCATCATCCACAGCAAGAAGCTCAACTACACCACCGAGGTGGTCCTGCGGGGCATAGGGGGCTCCCAGGCCCCTGCAATTGACAGGAGGGACATGGTTGCGCTTACTGAGTACATGGTGCTGCATCTGAAGGAGTCCCTGGTGGAGAACAACGTGTATGAGCTGGACAGCCAGTTTGTAGGGGAGCTGGCCGACGACCTGGCCGGCTTCTACCGAAGCGAGTACATGGAGGGGAACGTCAAAAAGTAAGTCCGTGATGGGTCTGTGTGGTGGGGACCGACCCTAAATGCCGAGGCAGAGAGCAGAGGGATGCTGGAGGCCCAGCATGAGCTCCAGTTGAGGGCTTTGAGCCTGGTTGGCCCTTGACTGGACTATCACTTCTGTTGTAACGGCCCCTGTGATAGTAGACCCTGCTGGAGGGCTTCCCTATTCCATATCAAGGAGTCAGGGGTGAGGGGCAACAGTGCTCCACTGGGGGAGAAGGGAGAGCAGGTATTTACAAGAATGGCCACCCAGGCACTCATGCAAGTGCAAATGCCCCTAAGGCCCCGTGCGCCCCTAGGACTCGGGGACTCTGTCTGCACACCTCTAACACCCGTATCACCATAGGGTGGTGGCTACGACACAGATGCAGGCTGCGGATGCCCGGAAGTCCTTCCCCTGCTTCGATGAGCCTGCCATGAAGGCCACGTTTAACATCACCATCATTCATCCCAGTAACCTCACTGCTCTGTCCAACATGCCCCCCAAAGGTGAGTGGGCTCTGTCCCGGGCCACACAGTTATGGGGAGCAAGGTAGGGGAGGGCACACATCCTCATACCATGGATGCCCACGCCAGGTTCCTTTGCCCTCACTGGAGAGCCCGGCTGGAATATCACTGAGTTCGAAACCACTCCCATTATGTCCACTTACCTGCTGGCCTACATTGTCAGTGAGTTCACCTCCGTGGAGGAGACAAGTACCAACGGCGTTCAGGTATGAAGCTGGCCCCACCTGGGACCCGCCCTACCTCCTGCCCCAGCAGTGGATCTTCAGAACAGCGGTGGAACTGTTCGGAGGGATCTCAGAGAGCTTCTTTCTTATGTTCTCTGATCCTCCGTTTCTGCATCTGAGAAACTAGAATATTGTCCTTTCCTCCGGAAGTAACCAGAGAGATGTGACTGTGGCTACCTTCTCTCCCCGCCGCCCCCTAGTCTCCTCACTAGGACCCAAAGCTCCTCAAAATCCCAAAGCCCCTTCCTGCTGACCAGGCCTCCCATAGGCTAGCCCACCCCTGCAGGTCCCAGACTCATCCCCCTGCACCGGGCCCATGGGCCCACTGTGACCTACCTTCAACTCTCTTTCCAGATCCGCATCTGGGCTCGACCCAATGCAACCCTAGCAGGCCACAGCAATTATGCCCTGAGGGTGACTGGCCCCATTCTGGACTTCTTTACCCAGCATTATAACACATCCTACCCACTATCAAAGTCTGGTGAGTGAGGGGGCAAGCTCTCGTGGTGGGGGACAGTGGACGGGGCTCCACATCCAGGGTCATTCTGCCATTGACCTCACCCCCTCAGACCAGATTGCCTTGCCGGACTTCAACGCGGGAGCCATGGAGAACTGGGGGCTGGTCACCTACCGGGAGAGCGCCTTGCTCTTCGACGAGCTGTCCTCTTCCAGCAGCAACAAAGAGCGGGTGGTCACCGTGATTGCTCACGAGCTGGCCCACCAGGTACTCTTAGCATGGGGAGAATCCCACGTGGCATGGCAGAACCATGGTAGCCCTGAGTTGTCCTGCTGAGGACAGTGGCTTACCACTGACCCCTCTCCCCACAGTGGTTTGGGAACCTGGTTACAGTAGCCTGGTGGAATGACTTGTGGCTGAACGAGGGCTTTGCCTCCTACGTGGAGTACCTGGGTGCTGACTTCGCAGAACCTACCTGGAACATAGTAAGCCAGCTGCCCAGGAGCCCTGGGGTCCAAGGAGGGGTGGATCTGGGCTGTCCCGACCCAGGCCAGTGGGCTGATGGTCGTTGGGGGTTTTCAGAAAGACCTCATGGTGCTGAATGACGTGTATCGAGTGATGGCTGTGGATGCGCTGGCCTCCTCCCACCCACTGTCCTCCCCAGCCAATGAGGTCAACACACCAGCCCAGATCAGTGAGGTGTTCGACTCCATCTCCTATAGCAAGGTGAGCCCCGCCCTCAGGATGGGGGCTCGGCCAGACGGCCCGGGGGCCAGCCCCAGCCTGACGGGCATCCAGCCCAGACCTCTGAGCCCCTCCTCTCGCTTACTACCAGGGAGCTTCAGTCCTCAGGATGCTCTCCAACTTCCTGACCGAGGATGTCTTCAAGAAGGGCCTGTCTGTGAGTACCCATTGGCCAGAGTGCCCATTACCGGGGGTGGATGGTCTTCCTTCAGCACCTGCCCCAGCCCCAGCCCAGCCCTAGAGTGAGTGGTAGAGCCTGGGGACAGGACCTTGGTCCTCACAGTGGCCTGTCTCCCCCAGACCTACCTGCACAAGTTTGCCTACAACAACACCAACTACCTGGACCTGTGGGAGCACCTGCAGATGGTAGGTAATGGCAGGCTCTCCTGAAGCCATTCTGCTGGGGTAGGAAGATGCTGACCATCCTGGGAACAGTGCATGTGTCAGCAAATGAGGTCTGGCCATTCTCAGGAAGGTGTCAGCAAAGCCATTTGGAATCTCACTTGTTCAGCTATAAAATGGGCATCCAGATGAGTTGTCAAGGCCCCTAGCCTTGGTCTCTCTCACATTATAACAAACTCCTTGAGGGAACCGGTGCAATGTGGCTCTTTAGCTTAGCTTCACTCACTGACAGCCAGTGGTCTATAGGACAGGGTAGAACTGCCCCTGTGAGTCCCCGAGACAGTTAATTCTTTATGGGGGTAGAAAGCCTAGTCTTTCTCCCAAGGAGCATCTGGAAAGTTTAAATTGCTGACCTTGCAGTTAGCAGCCCCAGGCCTAACCACTATATCACCAGGGCTCCTTCATCTGAGCTTAGAGGCAAGGAAATGAGCTATCTCGGTTCCCAAAGCCAGCCCTTTCCCCTGCTCAGCACTTCCAGCTGCCCTATGGCCCAACCTGCCACTGCACACCACCACCCTTGGCCCCTGTCTTCCCTACCTGGCATACACAGATCTAAGGAGCCCCTGTTTTGTTTGTTTGTTTGTTTTTCTTTTTTAACATTTTATTAGGGGCTCATACAACTGTTATCCCAATCCATACACACATCAATTGTGTAAAGCGCATTTGTACATCGTTTCTCAAAACATTTTCTCTCCATTTAAACCCCCGACATTAGGTCCTCATTTTTCCCCTCCCTCCCCGCTCCCCCCTCCCGCATGAGCCCTTGATAGTTTATAAATGGGTATTTTGTCATATCTTGCCCTGTCCGACGTCTCCCTTCATCCACTTTTTGATTGTCTGTCCCCCAGGGAGGAGGTCACACACAGTTCCATGTAATCGGTTCCCTCTTTCCTACCCATTCTCCCTTTACCCTCCCTGTTTTGCCACTCACACCACTGGTCCTATAGGGCTCATCCGTCCTGGATTCCCTGTATTTTCAGTTCCTATCTGTACCAGTGTACCTCCTCTGGTCTAGCCAGTCTTGCAAGATAGAATTCGAGTCATGGTAGTGGGAGCGGGGAGGAAACCTTTAGGAACTAGAGGAAGGTTGTATTTCTCATCATTGTTACATCGCACCCTGACTGGCTCATCTCCTCCCCAAGGGAGCCCCTGTTTTGTGGGGCAAAGTCAAAGCCCACTCTCTCCCAGGTGGAAGGGCTGACCCCCCCTCCCTTCCAGTCTCTGAAGAGGTCCCCCTGCCTCCTGCTGTGCCCTCTCCCTCTCCCACTATCATTCCCATGGTTCCACTGCCCGCCTTGTTCTGTTGTTCTTCTCAGCCAAGATGGTGGTCCCTTGGGCCCCTGGTCGCTGTAGAGCCCCACACCAAATCTTCCCCCGGGGCTACCCAGCAGCTTCCCAAACCCTCACTCCTGACCTTGTCTATTCAGTTCCCAAGTGTCCCCACCCGGCGCCCTCTCAGACCAGAAAGAGACCAAGGTCCTCCTTACAGAATTCTCCCACAAGCCTGGTGGGCAAGGTGGCGCCAGTACCTCCGGCCTCCTTTCCACCTCCATGCATTGCCGGGTCTGCACTATCTGAAAGTCCAGCCCTCCTCCATGCCCTGGCACCCTTCCAACTTTGAACAAGATCCAAGATGACAAAACCACCACTATACCGTCTCCCAGAGTCCCACCTGGGTACCTTTCTTCCCTCCACTCACCAAGTGTGCACATACGCCCAGGGGGCCCTACATGAGCATGAAGGTGCTCAGGACAGCGCAGGGTGGGCCACAGAATAGGTAGCCGCGTATATTTGCTTAATTGATGCAGACTGAAGCCAAGCTGGGAAGTTGATCAGCCGGCCCAGCACTGCCCCACCAAGGTGGCCCCACGGGAGCTGCAGGTGAGGGGCTGTCCTGGGGCTGCTGACAACAACACTGCCTGGCTCTGCCCTCAGGCTGTAAACGAGAATCCTACCCTCAACCTGCCCGCTTCCGTGCGCACCATCATGGACCGTTGGATCCTGCAGATGGGCTTCCCGGTCATCACTGTGGATACCAGCTTGGGGAAAATCTCCCAGAAGCACTTCCTCCTGGACCCTGAGTCCAACGTCACCCGCCCCTCAGAGTTCAAGTGAGCACATGGGGTCCCTGAGTGACACAGGCACTGCAATGGGTCCCTTGTGAACCCAGCCCCCGTGTCCATGCCCAAGTGCTCCCTCCTGGGACCAAGAAGATGGGGCATTTAGTGTGAGAGTTGGGCAGACACTAGAAGCTGGGCAAGGGCTACCACCTCTTACCACCTGGCCTCTGGCCTCTCTGCAGCTACCTGTGGATAGCACCAATATCGTCCATCAAAAGTCAGACACAGCAGGGCGTATACTGGCTGAATGGCACCAAGGAAGGTAAGCTGGCTCTGCCCTAGATGCGGCCCCCCAGGCTTCTCTCCAGCTCTCTGCTCACATGCAGCAAGGGCTCCCATGACTACTTCATTCCACCAATGAACACACTTCTTAGATTCTAATCTCCGTCCTGCCACTGCCCTGATTTGTGAGCCTGGACAAACTGCTTCCCCTCTCTGGTCTCCATTCTTCATTTGTAAAGTCTGTAAAACAACAACAGCAACAAAACCTCACTACTACGGAGTCAACGCCGACTCATAGTGACCCTATAGGACAAAGTAGAACTGCCCCTGTAGGGTTCCGAGACTGTAATTCTACGGTAGTAGAAAGCCCGTCTTTCTCCTGAAGAGAGACTGGTAGTTTTGGACCGCTGAGCCTGTGGTTAGCAGTCCAACTCATAACCACTATGCCACCAGAACCCTCTACCAAATTAGAGAATCTATGTACAATGGTTCGAACAGTGCCAGCATATGAGGAAACAAAAGTCAAGGCCAGTCATCCTCAGCCGTGACCCAGACAGGCTTTGGAAAGGAAGCAATGCTGAGTGGCTGACTAGGGGCATGTATGGCTTGGCTTCTGGGGGCAGTGGGAGAGAGCCTGGGGAGCAAGTTCATGGAGAAGTCAGGGCTGGCTTCCTGGAAGAGGTGAGCTGAGTCTTAGAGGAAGCATAGGAGTTATGACAGGCCGATAGGACCAAAACTATAGTCCAGAGAGAGGAGTGGTCAGACCTTCATCTGCAAAGATCCTTTTGGCTGCTGGGTGAAAAAATGGAATGGGTGAGAGGGAAGGAGGAAAAGTCCTGGGAAGGAGAAGTTCAGTGTGGAAGGAGGACGGAGCCCTGAGAGAACTGACTGGAGTGCTGAAGCCCGAGAAGTGGGAGAAGTACCTGGATCTGGTCAGGTGATAGGTGTGTGATGGAGGGAGGTCAGTGGGAGAGTGGGGAGGGGGAA